AAAAATATATATTTTTTGTTTTGTGTCTCTTAAATGTTTATATTTAATTATTTTTAATATTTTTCCCAAGTCTTTTTATTTCCATGTGTTGCTTTTACATTTGCTCGTTATGCAAATAAGGTGGGAGGAGCCTCTTTGGTCAGCTCCTCTCCTATTGGTCAACAGACAGGAAGTAGCAGGATCCATGTGCAGATCAACTGTGCTGCCTCAGTTTGAATTAAAGTTCAGTTTAAAACAAAAGAGGAGGATAACTGTGTCTTTGTTTAAATTATATTATTTTGTTTTAATTATAATTAAGCCATGTGCTAAAATACTTAATTTATACAAACTAAGCTGGAAAAATAAATATGAAGGTCAGTTAAATTATAAAACATGAGGGAAAGTTCTTTTATTATTTTAATTGGTGCATTTTAAGTGTATTTATTTATTTAATTTATTTATTTATTGGGACATTTGCACACACAGATATGACCAAAAACTTTATCACACATATTGCATAAATAAAACAAAAAATAAATAAATAAACAAATAACTATTGAATCGATTATCAAAACTCAGCTACAGATTGTTTTAATTACATTTTTTCAAATATTTTTGTGATGACAGCAGCAGATGCCATACTGGATCAGAACCTGAGTTTCACCTGAGTGTGTAATAAAAGCAGTTTATGAGCCGACACGTCAAATAAAACTGAGCCGGACTGAAGGTCAAAGACTGAAACACTGAATCAACTTCAGTGAGTTTTACGACTTGTGACACTGATAAAACAGCACTGTATCTGAAGTTTGGTTAAATTATCATTATTCAAGTGTTAAAAAGCTTGAAACCGGTGAGAACTTACTTTAACAAATACTGAATTCAAGATGGCCGCCAGAGCTAATTTTCAACAGTAATAACTCGGCCATTTTAGGACATATTGGACTGAAATTGGGCATAAAGGTTGCTGAGAACAGTCACTGAACCCAAATAAAAAATCCAAGATGGCCGCCTCAGACTCCTTTAAATTGATATATAACTCAGCTATTTTAAGCCATACTGAACTGAAAATTGATGTGGTAGTAGCTGAAGTAGATTCTCTTCATAACGAAAGTCAAGATGGCCGCCATAACAAGTGTTTAAATATCAGACTTAAAAACTCCAGCAGTTGAAACCCGTCTAATGTGACACAAACAAAATGAGACAAACTCTGAGAATTTAGTTTTGGCATCAAGTAATGTACTCTAAATGATCTGAACGGACAAATTAACCTCTATAGTGATAAAAATTTGGGGTTTTTATTTGAGGGCCTGTCGGACAGGAGTAGGCTGTGTCCAAAACGACAGGCCGGGTCCTCCGGAGGACCCAGACTACCCGGTCTCAGCGGGCCGGGTCCTTGGTAGACTGGGAAGACT